TCGTACGTACTCTTAGGTTTTCGGTAAAATCACGTAGGTAAAAAATAAAATAAAAATTTATAAAAGTAAAATAAAAATCACGACGTTTCGGAGGCAACACAAGCTTCCGTCTTCAGGTGGAACCGTCACAAGTGATACAGCAATCGTATGAAGTGATACAGCAATCGTGCTGTGACGGTTCCACCTGAAGACGGAAGCTTGTGTTGCCTCCGAAACGTCGTGATTTTTATTTTACTTTTATTAATTTATTTTAATTTTTTACCTACGTGACTTTACCGAAAACCTAAGAGTATGAATCCTTGCAGTCACGAAAGCTTCAAATCTAGAACCTCGTACGTGCCCGGCGTATTGTCTGTGCGCGATGACAGACGAGATAAGAGGAAAGGACGCGGAGATACAGTGAGGTAAGAGAAAATGTAGACAATACATCGAGATGAGGAGAGCGATACGGGGATGAGGGCAGGCGGAGTGAAACGAGACAGACAAGAGACGGGTGAGAGAAGCGAGATGCAGACGAGGCAGAGATGATGAGAGAGATTAATTAGATTTCGATTTAAAGATTTCGTGACTGCGGGGATTCGTATTCTTGGTTCTTTCTGGTAAAGTCACGTAGAAGGGAAATAATAAAATAATAAAAATAAAACATAATAAAATTCTCACGACGTTTCGGACGCTGTCTTTCCGACAACTCTGTTTCTTCACCTGAGGACGGCTGCTTGCGTTGTGGCCGAAACGTCGTGAGAATTATATTTTATTACGTTATTTTTCTTATTTTATTATTTCCCTTCTACGTGACTTTACCGAAAGAACCAAGAAGATTAATTAAGAGTTGAATTTTTTTTGTCATATTTTAAATCGAGCTGACATTTGGTTACTTCCCTTTGTTTTTTTGATTTTCCGCTTTTCACGAATCTGCCCCGGGGGGGCCTCTCCCCCAGCCTTTTGCTCGGTCTCCCTGCGCCGTCCACCACCGCCGTGGGACCCCACTCGCCTCTCGCCCGCGGACACCCACGACGCAGCGAGGGAGATACTGACATGACGATGAGCACGGTCGAAAGAAGCTCAACGTGCATACATCGACGCCACTCTTGCGAGTCAACAAATCACGTGGCGGTGGTGGTGGGGATGGGGCAGGCTCGCAAAGCCAGACGACAACACGACATGTCAGACGCTGTCTTTCCGACAGACCTGTTCTTCACCTGAGGACGGCTGCTTGCGTTGTGGCCGAAACGTCGTCAGAATTATTTTATTATGTTTTATTTGTATTTTTTTATTATTTTATTATTTCCCTTCTACGTGACTTTACCGTCCCGAAAGAACCAAGAAGATGAATCCCTGCAGTCACGAAAGCTTTAAATCGAAACACGACACCTCTCGTACGTATGTACGTTGAACTTCTTTCGTGCTGCACATCGCCAACCGTGCTAATCGGGAGGTACGGGAGAGCGACAGCAAACCAAACACAAAAAGCAGTCCTAACAACAAATGAGTTTTCAATACATGGGAGTCTGTGGTTCTCTCTGTGAGTCTATGGCTCTCTGTGTGTGAGTCTATGGGTCTCTATCTGAGTCTGTGGGTCTTTGTGTGGGTCTATGGGTCTCTGTGTAAGTCTATGGGTCTCTGTGTGAGTCTATGGGTCTCTATCTGAGTCTGTGGGTCTCTGTGTGAGTCTATGGGTCTCTATCTGAGTCTGTGGGTCTCTGTGTGAGTCTATGGGTCTCTGTGTGAGTCTATGGGTCTCTGTGTGAGTCTATGGGTCTCTGTGTAGTCTATGGCTCTCTCTGTGTGAGTCTATGGGTCTCTATCTGAGTCTGTGGGTCTCTGTGTGAGTCTATGGGTCTCTATCTGAGTCTGTGGGTCTCTGTGTATGTATGTAGGCTTTCTTTCACACTGTGCGTAGCCAGATAAAAATCCACGCGACCACAAGGAGAACACGCAAACTCCCAACTACAGTAAAACCTTGGATTGTGAGCATAATTCGTTCTGGAAACGTGTTTGTAATCCAAAGCACTCGTACATCAAAGCACTCGTACATCAGTTGTGATCACGTGACGCTCGGCAGACAAAGCGTATGCACGTACTGCTCGTATTGCAAGACCTCGCTCGTTTATCAAATGAATATTTATTTAAAAAATTTGCTCGTCGTGCAAAACACTCGCAGACCAAGTTACTCGCAATCCAAGGTTTTACTGTATATAGGCGTCAGGGTCGGGATCGAACCCACGACCTCCTGCGCACCGGGCGAGGGAGTTGACATCTCGTCGCCACCGTGCTGAATCGGAGGTGCGGGGGAAGGACAACAAAACGTTCTAAAGAAGTGAGTTTTCGACCGAGATGATCTGAGAGTGTACGTAGCTCCGGTGCCTTCCTGATGTCCCGATGAAACCAAGGAGCCGACCGCAACGAAAAACAACAACAACAACAACAAACAAACAAACAGCAGCAGAAGCAGCAGCAGCAGATGCAATGACGAAACCTCGACGGAATTACCCAGAGAATAATCAAGAACGGCGATAACGACGGCGGCGGTGGTGGGAAGTGGGGGGCTGGGGGGGGGGGGCTGAAGGGGGGGGGGGGGGCACAGGCAGCAGACAGCGAGACGCGGGTGTGGACACAAGCCGTCATTTGAAACCAATTTAAAATTGGATTCGTAACGCCACCTGAACACTTGCTTTCAGGATTCCGATTAAATATTAATTTTGGCGAGCGCCCCGAGACGAAGCAGGGAGAGGGGAGAGAGAGGGGAGGGGGGGGAGCGAGCTTCGGGAGCATTCATTATTAACGACGGCGTTTATTGGAGGGGAACGTCACGGGGGGGGGGGGGGGGGGGGGGGAAGGAAGGCACGGAGAGCTGCCGCACGCGGTCGCGGGGCAATTTATGCGGAAGAATGTGAAAATCATTTAGAGAGGGGAGAATAAATACGCGGGGCAGCGACGGGCCGACTCCGGGAGGAGAAGCGTAAGAAGAAGAAGCAGCAGCAGAAAATGATATCGCGTTTAATCAGAAGCGCGACTCGGAGAGCAGAGATTTAGAAACATATAGATATTCTTATTCTTCTTCTTTCGAATGGCTGATGTGCGTACGTAATGTTGAGCTTCTTTCGCGTCGTACGCAGGCAACCGTGCGAATCAGAGGTGTCGGTGAAGGAGAACGAATTAAAAGGCAAAAATCAGTTCTAAAGAAATTCGTTTTTAATCTACGCGAGTCTGTGGGTCTTCCATGTGAGTCTGTGGGTCTCTGTGCGAGTAGTCTGTGGGTCTCCATGCGAGTCTATGGGTCTCTATGCTCGAGTCTGTGGGTCTCTGTGTATGGGTCTCTGTGTGAGTCTATGGGTCTCTATGTTAGATTCTATGGGTTTCTGAGTGAGTCTATGGGTCTCTGTGTGAGTAGTCTATGGGTCTCTGTGTGAGTCTATGGGTCTCTATGTGAGTAGTCTATGGGTCTCTGTGTGAGTAGTCTATGGGTCTCTGTGTGAGTCTATGGGTCTCTGTGTTAGAGTCTATGGGTCTCTGTGTGAGTCTGTGGGTCTCTGTGTGAGTAGTCTATGGGTCTCTGTGCGAGTCTATGGGTCTCTGTGCGAGTCTATGGGTCTCTATGTTAGAGTCTATGGGTCTCTGTGTGAGTCTATGGGTCTCTGTGTGAGTAGTCTGTGGGTTTTCATGTGAGTCTGTGGGTCTCCATGCGAGTCTGCGGGTCTCTATGTGAGTCTGTGGGTCTCTATGTTAGAGTTTATGGGTCTCTATGTTCGAGTCTATGGGTCTCTATGTGAGTCTGCGGGTCTCTATATACGTATGTTGAACTTCTTTTGCACCGTGCGTAGCCAACCATGCTAATTGAAGGTGCCGGGGAACTAAACACAAAAAGCAGCTCTAAGCAAATTATAGTTTTTAACCTTGAAGCTCCAGTGGCTTCCGAACATCGCAAGGAAGAGCATTCCAGACGGCCACAGACGAGATCGGTAAGGTGTTGTGGTTCACTTGTTGGCGAGCGCTTTGTGTGTAACGAATGCGACCCCTCGCAACGTATTCGTTCGGCAACAGGGAAGCCAACGTAGACGACGCAGAGCAGCGACTTGCAATTTCACATTCAGGTGGTCAAGCCAAATAAAACCGCGTCAGGGGGCAGCGGAGTGTATCATCGCTGTGATGTCCTCCTTCGTATTTCGCCGATCGGGGGCCGTTGCGTCGTCACGCGTTTTGCACCGTCTCTGTTCTGGACGACCGCAGTCGCACACTACCGGAGAGCTTTTAATTCGTGTGCGTGTGTATATGTACAGAGCAGATAAGAGTGCGTACATGTGCGCGGGATGAAGCCTCGCATTGTAACGGTTAGTGCGCTGCCGCAACGGCTAGGATTTACAGAGGTTGCCCGGTTTGGATATCCGGGGCCCGGCAGTTAAAACAGTCGGGGGGGGGAGACGTTTCCAAAAACCACTCACCCTCCGTGTCGCCTTAACAGACTGTTGGGGCAAGTGCTGTTAGCGCGAGCATCTATGAAAGCCGGCACGGCACAAGAGGGGGTGGGTGGCCAGCACCACGCCTGACCGCCTTTGTCTCCCCAGTGGCGATGTTCACACATCGCACCAGGTGCTCATTTGAGGCCGAGTCGACATAGGGGAGGGGGCCTAGGACCGGTTCAGATTTTCGTCACCGATGTTGGGCCGTGAGCGGGAATCGAACCCGGGTCATAGCCGGGTTCGCAGCCGCAGCGTAGCGCTAACCGCCACACTGCTGCTCCCACAAAGACAAAGATCCCCCCCCCCCCCCCGGTGTAGCCTTCACAGACAGTTGGGGCAAGTGCTGATAGCGAGCACCTATGAAGGCCAGCGCACGAGGTGTGTCGAAGGCTCGCTGGCAGCAGGTCACGGGACAGACCCAGGCGTCATGGGTTGACCGATATGACTGGAAGATGCACCAGCTGTGCCTCCCCTTACCGTGCCAACTACACTACCGCTCACGCACACACACACGTGCACACACTCCCGACACACGCGCCCCACCTCTGAGCCATGATGCGGAAGCTCTCGTCCTGCAAGCAGGCCGTGTTCTGCATCTTGGCCGGCTCCGAGTCGCAGATCTGGTCGTTGGTGCGTCCGTAGTTGGCCGAGCTCACGACGATGACGTCGCTGCCCGGGCAGCGCAGGTCGATGGGGTAGCCCTCGCACGACAACTCACGCTGCACCAGGCCCTGGGGCAGCGCCAGCCGCCCGGAGCCTGCGGCGGACAGGACGGAGAGATAGAGGTTGGGACAAGGTCAAGAGGTCGTTATCGTCATCGTCATCACCATTTTTATTTCGATTTAAAGCTTTCGTGACTGCAGGGATCTCATCTTCTTGGTTCTCTCGGTAAAGTCGCGTAGAATGGAAATAATAAAATAATAAAAATAAAACATAATAAAGCAATTCTCACGACGTTTCGGCCACAACGCAAAGCAGCCGTCCTCAGGTGGAGAACAGGTCTGTCGAGAAGACAGAGTCTGAATGACACACCCCAGGCTTGGAGCGTCTATTTAAGCTGGGATGGAGGGGGGGAAGAGCGCCTTGACAAAATAATTTGCATATCAAGAGGAATTTAGCATATTTATGGGAAATGCAGATATGCGATTAGTACTACTTGTGGAATGCGTAGGGGGTTTGGCAGGGGGTTTATTATTTTATTATTTCCATTCTACGTGAATTTACCGAAAGAACCAAGAAGATCATTTTCATTATTATTGTTGCCCCGCTTCCCCCATGGGTCATTGTCCAGGAGGGTCCTGCCAGGATTTCACAGTCGTGGCCGATGTTGCTGCTGCTTCTGCTGCTGTCTGGGGGAATCCAATTTTTCTTGTCCTTCCCCCACCGCCCCGCACCTCCGATTAGCACGGTGGGCTACGTACGGCGCGAAAGAAATTCAAAGTACACACGTACTTTGGGAAGTTTCGTCGATACCAGCTAAAGTGCACGGGAGTTTTTCTCAGTTACGTGAGGAAACCGGAGAACCCGGAGGGGGGGGGGAGGGGGGGAGAACACACACAACAACAACACACTCCACGCAGGCAGACGCCCAAGTCGAGATCTGAACCCAGGCGCTGCTTGCTGTGATGCACAAGCATCACCGGCCAATGTGGAATTTCCAGGATCCCCAAATTGGGGTGAGCAGCCGTTGGGTTTGAATGGGGGTGTTTACCCCCATTCAAACCCAACGGTAACAATCATTCTCGATTTGAAGCTTTCGTGACTGCAGGAATCCATACTCCTCCTTTGGCTCTTTCGGTAAAGTCACGTGGGTAGACAAATCATTATTTTTAGGGCTAACAATCATGTCGACTTCGGAGCAGCTCCGCACTGGCGTTCGCTCGCCCTGCCAGAGAGAGAACGAAGAGGAGGCCCCGGGGAGCCAGAGACAAGCGGGAAGGCGACCAACGCCATGAGCCTGTCCAAGCTCTGCAGTTCTCTACACGGCAGGACGCCATTGGCCAACGGACACACGTTGGACACGCGGGAGGAAATGCGCACGTTGCAAGGGGGCAACGCTCTATCCCGTGCGGACGGAACATGATGCCTTGTATAAAGGTGTCAGTTTTGTACCAGTTTAAAGGGTAAAAACCTACTACTATATTTTGCCACTGGTAAAGGAGATGTCTCATAGTGTAAATGCTTACCCCGAGCTCTCAATACTCTGATAGTGCGCTGTCTTTGAGTTGTACGCCTTTTGGCGTCAACACCAATGGAGACTGGGCTCTGAGGAAAGCTGTCTCGGGTGTGGACCAATCAACTTCAAGGACGGTGCAAATCACTACCATTATCAGAGTTGTTTCTTTTTGTTTGCATTTTGACTGCTTGTGTTGCGGTTATTGCAAACATGATGCCTTGTATAAACGTGTCAGTTTTGTACCAGTTTAAAGGGTAAAAACCTACTACTATATTTTGCCACTGGCAAGGGGAGTTTCGCAACATCCGCGCGGTGACCCACCAACCCTCGTGCCGCTGCCTCCACAGCGCTGGCGCGGAGCCCACGTGTCGCAGCGCAGCCACCGCCAGGCCGGGCAGGGGCCCGCTTATTGTCCGGCGAGGGTCGGTGGATCGCGTGCAGATCTCGCAAAGCTCCAGAACCCGCTGGGCAATGACGCGATTGGCGGCCATGACACGGCAGGACAGCGAGCGGGTTCGCGGAATTGTGCGCGGGAGCTTTGAGCGTTCGCTAGTTCCCTCCGCCAACCCCCCTCCTCCTCCACCCCCAGCCCCCTCCCCCGACCCTCCTCCCCCACCCCCAGCCCCCTCCCCCAACCATCCTCCTCCACCCCCAGCCCCCAGCCCCCTCCTCCAACCCCCTCCTCCTCTAACCCCTCCTGTCCCCCCCCTCCCCCAACCCTCCTCCTCCTCCAACCCCCTCCCCTCCTCACCCCCATTACCTTTATTCCCCCCCCACCCCTCCTCCCCACCCCCCTCCTATAGTCCCGCTCCCCCACCCCCCTTCCACCCCCCCTCCTCCTCCAACCCCACTCCTCGTCCACCCCCTCCCCTCCTCACCCCCATCACCCTTATTCCCCCCCACCCCCTCCTTCACCCCCCCTCCTCCACCTCCCCACCCCCCTCCTCTAGCCCCGCCCCCCACCCCTCCTCCTCCACGCCCACCCCGCCCCCCCCACTCCCCCCCCCACCCCCCCCCCCCGCTCCCCCCCCTTCCACCTCCCAACCCTCCTCCTCTAGCCCCGCCCCCCACCCCTGCTCCACCCCCACCCTGCTCCCCCCACTCCCCCCCCCCGCTCCCCCCCTCCACCTTCCAACCCCCCTCATCTAGCCCCGCCCCCCACCCCTCCTCCATGCCCCCTCCTCCACCCCTCCTCCTCCACCCCCACCCTGCTCCACCCCCACCCTGCTCCCCCCACTCCCCCCCCCGCTCCCCCCCTCCACCTTCCAACCCCCCTCATCTAGCCCCGCCCCCCACCCCTCCTCCATGCCCCCTCCTCCACCCCTCCTCCTCCACCCCCACCCTGCTCCACCCCCACCCTGCTCCCCCCACTCCCCCCCCCGCTCCCCCCCCCGCTCCCCCCCTCCACCTTCCAACCCCCCTCATCTAGCCCCGCCTCTCACCCCTCCTCCACCCCCACCCTGCTCCACCCCCCCACTCCCCCACCCCCCCCAACCCCCCTCCTCCACCCCCACCCTGCTCCACCCCCCCACTCCCCCACCCCCCCAACCCCCCTCTACCCCCCCACCTACACAGGGTGGGGGTTTTCTCCTCTGGGTTCTCCGGTTTCCACCCACGACGCCAAACTCTCAGTAGAAAGGAATTTGCTAAATACCCAACAAGAGGGCACGCGGCGGAGTGACGAAACAAACCCCCCCCGCCCCCCCCGAGTACCCTGCGGAGAATTTCCTGGGCAGATAACGACAACTCATCACCGGGCATGCTTAATCCACTGCTGGATCGTTTTGTGTCGTAACTTTTTTGAATCACCCTCCCACCCCCCCCTCCCCCAACTGGACAACTGTGAATAGAGCTTCATAGCTCATCGGATTTCTCACATTTCTACCGACTAAACCATTTTTATTATTTCACCGGGCAAGGCCCACTGAGTTACGTAGTTTTCGGCAGCGACCTGGCCATAAATGATAAGCTCAAGGAGAAATGCATGCATGCATGTATGATGAAATTTTTTCGCACCGTACGTAGCCAACCGTGCTAATCGGAGGTGTCGGGAAATCTCATAGCAGCCAAATACTCTCCAAACGCGTGACGTTGATTCTAAATGTGGAGGGGAAAACCGGAGGACCCGGACCCCAGTGTAAAAAAGAAATCCACGCACGCGACCACAAGGAGAGAGAGACACCGCAAACTCCAAATACACAGCAGGCGTCAGGGTCGGGATCAAACCCACGGACCTCCTGCATACCACGCGAGGAAGTCAACATCTCGACAGCCCCGTCGCTATTCTAGAGCATCGCTCGTGGTCCGTCCTCGCCGTGACGTGTCCCAAACACGCACGCTCACCCTCACGGGGCACCAGTTACTCGTGCGTGGGCGCCATTAACCCGCGCGCGCTTGGGATTTGCACCGAGAGACGGAGAGAGCGGAACAGGTGGGGGCAATTATAGGAACATGCGCAGGTTGGAGACACGTGGTTCAAACCCGTGACGTAAACGCGGGCTTGGGGCAGGCCGCGTCGTTGCCTTCGAGGAACGATGGCCGACTGTCGTGAAATGACGACAGAGCGTGCGGCGGGGGGCCGAGTAGCGGTGGAACGCCGGTGTAGATGGCACGTCCCATGGGGGAGACGGAGCGATGAAATCGGGCTCGTGAGCGACAGAGGGGGGCCCCGAGGGCGGATTATGACACCGTGGGAGAAATGTCGACGGCCGGCAGAGGCCTTCATCCAGCAGCGGATGGGCCATGGCCGATGATGACGATGATGGACGATGACGCTCGACGCCTCCATGCTTTGCGCGCAGGAATGCCGTGCTCGCGCTCTCTCGTGCCGAGACAATTCTCCCGCTTGTTTAAAAAAAAAATACTCTCCGTTTGTATAATTACAGGGACGCTGCCGCCCTGCTGCTGCTGCCACCACAATAGTCCTCGGCTTGTTGTCCCCCCCCGCCCCACCCGCACGTTCGATTAGCACGGCGAAAAAGAAGTCCCACGGACACACACAGCACGTGCGGTGCGGCGGTTAGCAGCGGCAACGATTCCATTCGACTTCCCGGCGAGGCACAATTCTCTCACCCGGCAGCGATACACACGGGGAGAGGTACCCATGTAAAGCGTGAGTACCTCTTCTCAAAACGTGTGGCCACACAGCTTGGAAGAGTAGGCCAAATACAATCGGGGGGGGGGGAGGCAGCGGCATGAGCAGTCAACTACAGGGGCTGCTCCTCTAACCCTTGTATCATTATACGAGCCGTGTTTAAAAATCAGCTCAAACCTCCTGTAAATCACGTGATTTCTGCATGGCACCGCCCCCCGCTCGCCCCGCCCACTCTGAATCCCTCCCCTCTCCCCACCGCCCCACCTGCTGTGAAAACAGACACCTCTTGCTCGCGCCTTCCTCATCTCCCTCCCGCTCTCTCTCTCCTTCTCTCATCATCGCCCTCTCATCCCTCGGCGTCTTGGCCCGGTCATTTCCTTCTCCCCCCTCCCCCCCCCTGCATCCTCCTGCAACTGCCGCTGCTCCCTCCTTCGTTCTTCCCCGCTGCTCATCTCGGAGCCGTGCACTCCACCTCCGCCACCTCCTC